TCGTTACCACCTCCCGAAAGATTTTCACTGGGCATGCCCTACTCTAGGTGGGAAAAACAAGTGCAATCGTACTTAAAACTTTTCCCTGCTTCACAACACGGTGCAGTTGTCATGTCCTTGCTTTCTGACGAAGCTTTCAATATGGTGGCCGATAGTAACCTCCTAGAAGAAAACGTCACGGCAGAGACCTTTGCCGCACATCGTCGCCTTCTGGACCGACCCGGCTTGCCCGATGAACTTCGTCGAGCATTCCACGCGAGGTACAAAAAACCTGGGGAACGTATTGAAGCTTATGTACGGGAGTTACGCAGATTAGCCGAAACTGCATTCGCGGACGAATCACAAGGCGAAAGAAACAAGCGCACCCTGGAACAGCTTCTCGAAGGAGTTCAGACCCCTACCGTCAAGAGGGAGTTCCGCCTGCGTCGTCCCGAATACCTTGAGACAGCTGTACAAGTGGCGGAGCAGTTGGAGTTGGTTGACGCGGCGATGGAAGCCCCGACTTATTGGTGCTGTGCCTTGAGGAGCCACGACCACCCCAACCTTATATCCGGAAAGAGAGCAGTTCAGTATACGTCTCAACGAAGCCGCGGCACAAGGCCTACTATGCGGCCAAACTTTGGAGGACCGCGATATCAGCCAGGTGGATACGGGAATTACAGACGACCCCGCAGCAACAGGCTTTTGCAAGGTGAGTGCGACTGTGCACGGTCTGAATTTGTACCCGCTGTTGTTTGTACTTCGTCCGCAACACCAACGTTGACCTTAGAAGTACGGGTTGGGGACGTCCCACTAGTAGGCTTGATTGATACTGGGGCGTGTAAAAGCCTACTTAGGTACAATGTCGTTACAATGCTGACGGACTTCGTTAGGGCACCTTGCCGCTACCGTTTGACTGCAGCTAACGGCGAACCTCTCACCGTCCGGGAATCTATCACTGCGAGACTGGATATCGCCAACGAAAAGTTTAACCACGAGTTTGTTGTCGCTGATAGGATACCGTTTGCTGCAATCATTGGTATGGATGTTTTGAGCCGTTTGAAATGTCGACTGGACTTGGGAAATTTTCAGCTGATCACGGATAAGTGTACTAGATTTCTTAGATCGTGCAGGAACGATGTGTTAGAAGCTTTTGCAATTTGTGAGGACATTTCTAACAGCGAACAATGCATGGACACGTTTGTCCGTTCTCTCCATCTTCCCACTCACGATCAGACACGAGAAAAACTTAGAGATGTGTTGCGCCAGCACTTAGATGCATTCGCGTGGGCAGCCGAAGACCTAGGCCGGACCAACGTGGTAAAACATCAGATAGATACGGGGAACGCAACACCGATCAGGACACCCCCGCGGCGGATCCCGATACACTGACAGGGAGAACTGCAGAAGCTCATTGAGGAAATGCTAGGAAAAGGTGTTATACGTCCCTCTACATCTCCCTGGGCAGCTCCGGTTGTCTTAGTGAAGAAGAAGGACGGTAGCTTTCGGCTGTGTATTGCCTATCGACGTCTGAAAGTGGTCACTCGAAAGGACGCGTTTCCTCTTCCTAGAATCGACGATCTCTTCGACGCGCTCGGAGGCTCAGCTTACTTTAGTACGTTAGATTTGGTATCTGGTTATTGGCAGGTAGAAGTTGATGAGAGCGACAGGGAGAAGACGGCGTTTGTTGTTCCGTCGGGCCTTTATGAGTTTCGGACGATGCCTTTTGGACTATCGAACGCCCCCGCAACCTTTCAACGCCTCATGCAGAAGGTTCTGCACGAATTAATCCCCCATAAATGTCTCGTTTATTTGGATGACGTCATCGTGCATGGAAAAACAAAGGATGAACACTTAAACAACCTAGCGGAGGTGCTAACGTGCTTAATAAAGGTGGGCCTCAAACTCCAACCGACAAAGTGCCACGTTCTACAAAAAGAAGTTGCCTATCTTGGACATATCATTTCTGAGACGGGCATTCGAACGGATCCTCGTAAGACAGAGCAGATGAGAGCTTGGCCAACCCCCACTAGTGTCGAGGAATTACGCAGCTTCTTGGGGCTGGCTTCGTACTACCGCCGTTTCATAAAAGGCTTCTCAGAGGTCGCAGCACCTTTAAACACGCTGTTACAAAAAGGTTGTAGTTTGGATTGGAGCGTTGAATGTCAAGCGGCTTTCGACCGACTACGTGATTCCCTCTGCACTAACCCTGTTCTTGTCTTCCCAGACTTGTCGGCACACGCTGGGGAGTTGGTTCTGGATACGGATGCAAGCGACCAGGCGATTGGAGCTGTGTTATCACAGAAAGGGTCAGATGGTCGGGAGAGAGTAGTGTCTTACAGCAGTCGGACTCTTACCTCAAGAGAAAGGAACTATTGTACAACCAGAAAAGAAATGTTAGCACTAGTATTCTTCATAAAGCAACATCGCCATTAGCTGCTGGGGAGGAAGTTTGTAGTACGGACAGACCACCAGTCTCTCAAGTGGTTGCAGAATTTCAGGGACCCCGAGGGGCAAATCGCTCGTTGGCAACAGCAATTACAGGAGTATAATTTTGAGTGTCACCACCGGCCAGGCAAACAACATGGCAACGCGGACGAGCTGTCCAGAATACCACTCCGCGACCACGGCGATTGTCCTTCGTGTATCACACAACACGTAGCGCTAGTTAACCTCCAAGGAGCTGAGTACGGTCGTTGGCAAGAGGCACAAGCTTCAGACCCAGACATCTCACTTATCTACGACAAACTACGCTCAGGTGGTGATAAACCGACTCCGAAGGAGATGGAAGGGAAAAGCTATGAAGCTCGGTGTTTGTGGGTGGTGTGGGACAGGCTCGCGATTGAAGAGGGGTGCTAGTGTTTGATTTCAGCCCAACATACGTTCGGAAAGTCGTTGTTCCGCAACCCTTAGTTACCGAAGTGCTCTCGGAGCTGCATCAACAACTGGGACACGCTGGAGTTAACAAACTCGAGACCGCAGCACGCCGCCGATTTTGGTGGCCGCATAAGCGAAGGGATATAATGAACCTTTGTCAAACGTGTGAGAGGTGCGCGACGTTCAAGAGTCCACGAATAGCCCACAAGGCACCACTGCAATCTGTAACGGCAGGTTATCCGAACGAGATTGTGGGAGCCGACCTCATTGGTCCTCTACCGGAAACACCGCGAGGGAATCGATACATCCTAGTCATGGTGGATTATTTCACCAAATGGTGCGAAGCCGTGCCGATCGCGCAAGCTGACACCGTCACCGTGGCAACAGCGATGACAAACCCTTGGGTTTGTCAGTGGGGAGCACCGGGACAGCTGCATTCGGATAGAGGGTTTTGTTTCGAAAGCTCGCTGGTGCAGGAAACCTGCAGAGTGTTGGGTATTGATAAGACGCGAAAGACGGCGTATCACCCCCAAGGTAACGGACAGGTGGAACGCACGAATCGGTCGTTAAAGTCGTTGCTGAGAGCCTGCGTAGACCAGAACATTTACGATTGGGATATTTTATTACCTAAGTGCTTGCTGGCATGTCGATGTACGGTCCACTCATCTACGGGGCAAACGCCATCTCTCATGTGGACGGGAAGAGAAGTTCGGCTTCCTACAGACGTCCGACTACCTATATCGCAACGTCTGTATCCGTCTGTAACCGACTACGTCAGTAGACTTCTCGACTCTATTTGACAAACGCATCAGGCAGCGCGCGTTCATTTGGCGAACGCCCAACGACGGCAAAAGGAATACTACGACAAAAAGGTTTTTGGCGTTCCGTTGAAGACAGGCGAGCTCGTGTATTTGCATCAGGCATCAACGACGGGGATACCAGGGCAGCTACATCACGAATGGTCAGGTCCTTACGTTGTGCAGAGAGTAATATCTGATTTGACTTGTGTGATTAAGGATCCAAACAACCTCAGTGCACAGCCGATGATTGTACACTTTAACAGGCTTAAACCATTTCGTAGTGAAACTGAGCACCCAGGCGGGGAACTCCAAGAGGAAACACCGACAGAGATAGGGGCTGAACTAGAAGTACCGGCTGAAGGAGGCTACGGTGTGGCAACGGGGACGTTGCACACTTAGAGGGGGTGCGGTGTAACTAACATTCGATACCATTGTGGCGCGTGATCGAATTTGAATCGTTGCTTTTACGGCGTCCTTCCCCGTTTGCCTTCCAGAGCGCCATTCCTGTGCAGTTACCGAAGAAGGACAAGAACCCGAAGAGAACGGTTAACTGTAACGCTTCTTTCATTCATTTTATGTTACACTGATTTCTTCTTATAGAGCCTACGTGTTGTTTAATAGAAGTTCCGTCCGATACCTGGACTTCTTCCTGACCTGTATACTACACAAAGAAGCAATTTAAAAGTCAAACCTTCTGTGCAATGTTATCCAAACACTGTTCCCACCTAAAACTTGCAAGAACGAAAGCTCCATCACTTTAAACGGCAAATAAGTTGGGAGCTGTAAGCACTGTTTTCAAGCTAAGCTTTAAGATGTGTTCTCAAACCAAAACACGACGAGCTAACCGTGCTCTGAGGTAGTAGAAATCCGTACTTTTATTGGGCACTTCCAAACCCTTTTGGATGACAAAAGCAACTGACAAATTCAAAACATCTTTACATGTTTAAGCAGCCAGTTTCCACACATAACGTTTAAGAAAGAAACCTGAACGACTGGTGCGGTACTACCACTGTACACTTACTGGTAAACGAAGCGGCACGCTCTTTAAGCGATAGCTTGTTTTGTCTCTGGATGCAGTCCCTTAGTGTCTCGTTCCTCCACCAAGCATTTCCTCAATGGCAGTTTAGAAAGTATTCCAGCAGCATTCTGAACACCGGACTTTAAACATGATAAATAAGGCTAACCTACCATCATGACTTGGTTGCATACGCTGTTACTGCAAATAAAACTGAGCCGTAACTATTGTCGCTTCACTTACCGGCACAAGAACTGGAACTCGTTAGGCGGAAGCCTCCATCGTCCGTTTGACCAGACCTGATCAACTCAAGGTCATCGTTTGGAAGCGCGTGCTTTAAGATTTTTGTTTGTTATCGCAACGCAAGCGATACCGGATGTCTTTTGGTACGTTCGACATTGAGCTAGAGCTGATCACTTGTGGTAAATACGCATTATGTTTGGTATACTAGGTAGTGATAAGGTAGCTATGATCGTCGTGTATTGTTGAATAACAGTCTTATAAAGGAACATTGTACGTACCGCGTAGTCCCCCATGGGTCAAGACTGGGTCCACTATTGTTTTTTATTTTTGGAAACTGTCTAGCATTTTTGTGAAAACTGGTAAACCTTTTCAAATATAAACAACAATTAGTCAGCATGACAATCTAGCAACACTGACCTATGTTATCATCAATTTACACACTGTGCACAGCGTGACGAAAAATCTGATCAAAAGTGACCAACTGTAAAACCGTTTTAATTTAATAACGTAAGTACCTTATTTCTAGTCATTTGTCACCCTTTGACTACCTTCGTTCTTTCTGGGATAAAGAAGCTCTGATTCTTTAAGTAATTGATTCTACGGTTGTCTCGTACCCGTTCCGGTTACTCCCAGTGTACTTACATACAGTAGACTCAGGGTTATGGATTCTTATACTTTTTTGCAACCTTTGTATGTGCAGAAACGGCTCTGGAAGTAAATCCTTCCTGGGAGTGACATCGGATTATCAATGATCACATTTTCACCCGTTTCTTGATCGAAACCGCTGTAGAAAACAAAAGCATTTCCACTTTTATGATCTAGTCCGAATGCTGTCTAAACTATCAGAATTTCAGAGTAAAGTATTAAAAATTTTGCGAGTAAATGGTTTCGGGTAAGACTGAGCGCGTTTTTCAAAGTACGATTTTCTTCCAATTTCGGGGTAAAATCTGTGTGTAACGAAGATATTAAACTCGGGGAACAAATCATAATGTAGGTGCAAAACGATGAGTAGCGTATTCATTTACACTCATTATTGAACGTTTGGAGATCCACATTATAGGGGCAACAAATCGTCTTTAAGGGAAGATCAGCATAGTAAACGCTGTGACAAATACATCTCCATCTTACAACGTAGTATCTAGTAAGCTAGTATCACGTATTTCACTTCAGTTCTTTTAAACGGGCCATTCCGTTCGTTAACAACTAAACGCGCTATCTGGGATAACATAGAAGCTAGTAGTATTATTTGTAGGCAAGCATTTACACCAGTTGTAGCTTGCATGTATCAGACCTTGTGTATTTCCATGTTGCATTCTTGATGCTTCTTCATCGCAGTTGGGCTAAACCAACTTACACATAAACTAGATCTTTTTAAGGTGGCTAAATTTCATTCCACTTTATTTGGTTTGTTCTGCTTACCTGAATACTCTTCTATTAACTGGCCACGTTGCTTACATTAATTGCGCTTATCTTCGGTAACTTTGTTGCGTTTTGTAGCATTTTTAACAAACTTTTGGACATTTTTTCCTTATCGCGGATTCGTTGCTAACCAACTTACTTCATGTGCTAATTTGGCGAAGAGTTATGCCACCGTATCTGTATGCATTATTGGATTTGTTTTATTTCATCTTGTTGTTCAAGGTGATTGGCTGTTGCTTGATATCCCTTGTGTGGCTGCGCTTGATGGGCATGTTGACAAGGTGCCTACCTGTCTATTACCCACTACCTCGTCCATACTGGCTCCAGGAGACAGTTGGTTGTTGCTGGAGGGGACGGGGTGCACGGTCCTTGTGGTCGTGTTAGGCTCGAAGAGTGGTTCCATGCACTCAGCGTGGAGCGGACTACGGTTCAGCCACCGCCTTGTGTGCGCTTGATTTCCCAAATACAGCGTGCTTGTGTTTGCCTGTGAATGAGTGTGGGCCGGCTCCGTTGATGAAACGTGGCTCCCATCCACATGCCTCCCGGTCTTATTCCTTCGGGTTTACACTGGATATGGGGTGTTTGGTTGTAGCTGTGGGTGGTGCAGCGCAAACCATCCATGGTCCCTCTGTAGGCGCAGGCGTCCTGTGGCTGGCCACAGTGACAGGCAAATCCGAAACCGGATGCCGCCAACCATGTACATCCATTCCATTGGCTATTTGGCTCGCTTCACCATAGGGCACCCTGCTGTCCACTGATTGGTTTCCCATAACTTAAAACACCTTTGCTGTTCCTAATGTGTCATGTTTCCTTCTTATTTTCCTTTGGCTTAATTGGAGCTTACTTTATAGAATCAGAACTAAAATGAAAATGTGAGACATGTGCACTGTGGGTAGTTACCTGCAGTTAATTATAGTCGAAGCAAATAGAGTTACCCCTCAATACTTATATTGGGCAGACACGGGCCACGACTTTCGGCGGAGTTACAGTTGATGCCTCTTCGGGGTCTTGTAGAACTAGTTAATACTAGTCCGAGATGGTGCGCGAAATTAAGTGCGGATATCAGAAGGCAATGAGAGTCGGACACAGCGGATTGTATTCGATGGGCTACAATAGGAAGCGGACGGATGAAGCGAGAAGAGAGGGAACACGTGAGCGCGGGAATTTACAAGGTGGTCGAGTGACGAGCCGGTCGTAAGGACGATTAAAACAAGAAGGAGTAATGTACAATCAGTCAACAGGTAAATTGTACATGAACGATAAGGGTTATCTTTTTGGGCGCTACAGAGCTCCCCCCTAGAAGGCTGAACATAGAAAGCCTTCGATTTCGAAAAGGTACGTTGAATCAAGGTTCGGAAGGCAAAATCATGCTAAGTAAAAGTGAGGGCGCGTTTGTGTAAATAGGGGTTCGCCGGAAGTCGGAGTCCGCTGTGTCGTTTGTGATTTGTTATTTATTGATTGCAGGGCAGGGTGCATTTCGGCGGGCCGTTAGAGCGGGCTTGTCGGACTACAAAATAACTGGCTAGCCCAGAAAAAGGCCGATAGGACCTCAACCTCCGCTGCTGCCAAACGGTGCGCTTGGGAGTGGTCTCTCCCCCCGCCGCATCCCGCTCCGCGCCAAAACGACCCTCGTCCCACGAAGAAACGATCATGGTCCCACGGAGAAGCGACCCTCGTCCCGCGAAGAAGCGACGCTCGTCCCTGCGGAAGAAACGACACTCGTCCCGCGGAGAAAGGACAACCGTTCCGTAGAGAAACGACACTCGGCGCGCGGAGAAGCTACCAGCGTTCGCGCCAGGGTCCTCGAAAACATTCCTCGTGTGAGCCAGTCGATCGAAGGGGAGGGTTTGGGGCATGTAGAGACGAGAAAATAGAAAAACGCGCAGTAAACGCCAAAACGAACAAACGAATGATCTGCATGCTTAAATTTTTTGGTTTTGAATATTTTTTCGAAAAAGGTTTTCCGGAGGTTTTTGATATTTTTGTTCGTTTTCAAAACGTTAATCGACCAAAAATGGGGCAAATATACGCAATATCTACAAAGCTAAAATTATTTACACTGTACCTAGTCGGAGAAACGAACCGGCTTACGCACCTTCCGCCCACGGCGATTGGTCGTGGGAGGCGGCGGACTAGATTCGGGAGGTGTTTGGACGGCTTGTAGACCGCGATCGTGGCCTGGTTGAACTGCACTAGGATGCTGTAAGCTGGTGCGGTGGGTTGTGATGTCGCAGGAAGCACTACTAGACGAAGTGGGCGAGAGATTTTCTTCCATAAAGGCGGGTTTTAGACGGTCGCTGGTGACGACTTCGTGTCGACCACCGCGGTCAGTAGTGTACGCCTTACTCGCACGATGTAACACCTTGAAAGGTCCTAAGTACTGCGACTGAAGAGGCTGTCGAACACCGGCTGCGCGAAGAAGGGCGTGTGAACACGTAGACAGCTTCTCGGGCACGTACACTGGTGTCTTCTGCGATCGAGGAGCGGGTGGACGTAGCTCACGCATCTGGTGAGCCAGTCGATCAGTGTAACTTCCGTAGTCAAAAGTGGAAGTACATGGGGCTGGTGCTACCAGCTGTCCGGGCAACCGCAGCGTACAACCGTAGTCTAGCTGCACTGGTGTGGCGTCGAAATCGGTTTTAACTGTGTTTCCCAAGCCTATGAGAACGAGGGCCATCGTTTCAGACCATGAAGGATCTGCGTGCGCACGCAGCGCTGCCTTCAAGTGGCGATGAATACGCTCCACCATGCCATTAGCGGCCGGATGATACGCTGTCGTCTGGACGTGGCGACAGCCTAGATCCTTAAGCAACGTGTCAAATGTTGACGATAAATGTGACCCTCGATCGGTGGTCACGATGGCGGGACAACCGTATTGAGCTACCCAGCGCTACTGTTTCCGAAGAGTAGTTAGGTATATGAATGGCTTCCGGCCACCTAGGGAATCGATCGACACAGGTCAGCATATACACATAGCCTTCCGAAGGCGACAGAGGACCTACGAGGTCCACGTGCACGTAATGAAAACGTGCGTCTGGCCTGGGAAACGTGCCTAATGGGCTTCTCATGTGCTTGTGCACCCTTGCGCGTTGACACGGAAGGCAAGCAGCTTCCCAAGTACGGACGTCCCGATTAACATTGCGCCAAACGAATCGTGCGGTTACGAGTTTAACCGATGCACGAACGCCTGGATGAGACAAGCCGTGCAGCGTGTCGAACACGGTCTGCCGAAACTCGCGTGGAACGACTGGGCGCGGCGTGCCTAGAGATAAATCACAGAGTATAGTGCCGTTTGCTGAAGTCAGCGGAACGGGTCGTATGTCCAATGAGGGAAACCTGTGTAGTAGCTCAACCCCAGGATCATTGAGTTGCGCTGTGGCCATGGCTACCAAGTCTATAGCAGTGCTGGCGTCAGCGGAGATAGCTTGGATGCGGGAAAGTGCATCGGCGACGGTGTTGTGCACACCTGAGACATGCCGTATATCGATCGTAAACTGAGCGATATAGTCAAGGTGGCGCGACTCTCTAGGAGAGTATCAGTCAGTAGTCGAGCCGAGCACGTAAGTTAAGGGTTTGTGGTCGGTGAAGACGACAAAAGAGCGGCCTTCTGGGACGTGTTGAAAGTGGCGTATCGCTAGATATACGGCTAGCAGTTCTCTACCGAACGTGCTGTAGCGAGATTCGGTAGGTTGTAGACGTTTGGAGAAAACCGCTAAGGGCCGCC